CACCCACACCCACACCCACACACCCCACCCACACCCTAAAAGTTTTGCTCAAAAACGCAAAAATAAACGATAATGACAAACTATTGTGATAATTATTTGACTAGATTTTGTTGGTTTGTTATTAATGTGGGCAAATAGATGATTTATTCACATTCAGTACTCATGTGGATAATCTATGTTATGCTCGATAGACAAGGAGGAGTGTACATGTTGATGTGAATGAAGAGAAGACTTACACCGGAGTTAAAAAAAACAGAATGATCATTGATATTCCATTTCGAAACAAAATCACATTTATCGCTCAGTTATGTTGTTTACTTTTGAATGCACACCCATACCCACATCTAACATCCACACTTACACTCATTCGTATAATGTAACAGATGATATCTCTTGTATATCAGTCACGCCATTCTACAAGATAATGAAAGCTTAGTTGAAACTTTTTAATTAACTCGATAGATCTGTATAGGATAATAAAGTTAATAAAATAAATAAAGAAATAATCTATTTTATGTGCAGTATCAAAAATTTGTTGAAGTATTTCTAATTCATCTAGTTTCCATGCAATAATATAAGCACCAATCTTTTTTATTGGTAGCGGAATATCTTGGGCAAAGAATCAATACAATTCATAATCACGTTTAACTAATTTTGATTCTAATGTTTGTGGTATTGTATCAAATCTTGTACGTAATATTCCACTATTACCAGAACTTGTATCAGTTAATATCCGTGACGATTTATCTAATAATAAAACGTTCTTATAACCATTTAATGTTAATTGACGAAAACTTTCTAACTGGATAATACCTTCACCGCTTATTATTATATCATATATCAAGGACTTGCCTTTTGAATGAAATAGATATGAAAACAGAATGATATAAACATAAGTCAATAATAATAACATAAGAAGAATAATATGTATTTTTTTTCTCTTCTCTTATCGTTGATTCAGAGAAACTTCTTAAAAGAAATACCAAATTTTCGAGCATTAACATAACAAAATGAGATTCATGATGATTGTGAGCATAGAATATATCATTATTACTGACCAACGGATCGTGATCAGACTGTTTTTTTTGCGAGGAGAAAGTGATATGAATGGCTTATCGACGAATTGAATTGGCATTTACCCATTAATTGTAAATTTCGATCGATGCGGATCGAATATTGTAGTTGCTATTGGTCTTGACAAAATAGTGATGAAATTTATTTGAATTCTCTCTAAAAAG